GCAACAATGAATGAATGGAATTCCAAAATCTCTGTAGATGTTCATTGAAATGAAAAATAAAGAAATTTTAAAAAAGAAATAAATAAAGTCCAGCTTCTCAGATGATTTGCTCAACACACAGATTGGATAGATAGTGAGAGAGGATACAGTCCTAATGCATACTTTTCTTGATTTACGTATGTTTAGTCTTGCCTATTTGGAAGCAGGAGTGGCTTCTAGTTCCTAAACATCATGCCTCTGGAAACTCTATGAACTTTGAGAAAGGACAACAGTTAAAGAAAGACTTCAGGTCTTTTGTTCATAGGGGTTCTAGGAGTCGTGCTCGACTCAACAGCAATCAACAACAACAAGAAGTCTTGCATAAGGTGGGGGCCTAGTGGTAAGAGTGTGCTGCAATTCTGAAGGCACTCAGTTCAAATCCATGAGCTGCTCTGCAGAAGGATGAACAGTCTCCTGTGTGATGAGCTGCCAATGAAAACCTGCTGGAGGGTCAGTTATGAGTAAGTTCTGATGAGACAGCATACAACAATACCACTGAAAGAATAAACAGGTATATCTCAGTGAAAGTGCAACCAGAGTGCTCTTTGGAAGGGAGACAATTCTTTGGAGATGGACATTATGCTTAGAAAGGTTGGCTAAAGAAAGGAAGACCCTAAACCAGATGGACTGACACAGTGACTGCAGCAATGGGCTCAAATGTGTCTGAGATGATGAGGCTGGCACAGGATAGGATAGTGTTCAGATAGGTTGTTCATAGGTTCACTATGAGTCATACTCAACACCTAACAGCACCTGACAACAACAAGATTAGTTTCTGGAACTCTAAGGATAAGAATCTGCACTGTAATCCCAAAGGCATAACTTTTTAATCCGCCAGCTGCTCAAGAAGCCTTGGCAGTCTCCTCCTTTGGGATTTATTGCTTCTGAAAACCTGCTGAAAGCTCAGCTATGGGTCAGTTCCGATTTGAAAGCATACAATAACAACACAACATGGTTAAGTTTAGAGGGAGCTCTAGTGGCCTAATGGTAAGAAGTAATGCTGCCAACTCTAAGGCAAGCAGTTTGAAATCACCAGCTGCTCCATGGGAGAAAAATGGGCAATCTCCTCCCATGTGATTTAAGGCTCTGAAAAATCTGAGTTTCAATTAAAGGTACACACGTTAACACAAGGCTAGTTTAGAGACTTCCATATCTAATGTGACTTCTCGGTAGAATTGGTAAGGATGAGTAATTAAGTACTTCAAAACATTTCTAAGAAACAACCTGGAAAATTTCCTTCCCTTCAGCTGTTGTTAGGTACCATCAAGACTCATAGCCTCAAAATGACCCTATGAACAATAGACCTGAAACTTGTCTTATTTTATTTCGTGCCATCTTTATCATCTCTAACATAACGCTACAATCACTAAAGAGTTATTTTCTTTGCCAAGGAAGGGTTACTCTTCCCTTTCATTCCAATTGCTATACAGGTCCACAGAAGGATGGAGAAGTCATGAAGTGAAGAGAAGTCTACTTCTAGATTACAGAATGGATGGTAAATGCTAGAATAGAGACCTGAACACTATGCCCTGGAAATGAGAAGCAGCAAATTTTGACTAGGGAAAGCAAGACAGACGTTAATATACATCACAGTTGAACTGGATCTTATTGTTAGTTTCCTTGGAGTTGACTCTGACTCATGCTTACCTTGTGTAGAATAGTAAAATACTGTGTCCAGTCTTATGCCATGTCCATGATTTTTCCCCCACACATTTCAATTCAATGTTGAAGGTATTGTGTCAAGTTGGATCTTAAAGAGAAAAATTTTATTAAATAGAGAAGGAACATCCACTTCCAAAGTAGCTTACCTCCGGAACCCCTGTGAACTTGGAGAAAGTTCACATAAGTGTTATACAAGTGTTCAGGTCTTTGGTTCATAGGGTTGCTATGAGTCATCTATCACTCAAGGCACTTAACAATAACAACAACAACAGAGAAGGAACAAAAACAAAATGAAATTGACAAAGACAAGGAGTGGGAATGGGTGTTTAGGTAACAATTACTAGCACATAGGTCTATATGAATAAAAAAAGTAAAAAAAAAAATAAATAAAAAAAAAAGTGACTCAACAGCATTTGAGAAATACAAAGGAAAATAGGACTAGACTAGAGAATTGGGATACCATTCATTCTAGGGATTTTGTTTCAGAGGCAGTGGGACCCAGGGAAGGTTTCTAAGCTACGGGGTGATACCATCAGATCAGCAGCATTTTAAAAGATAACAAGGAAGGAAGTCAGTAATGAATTGCCAAAGATTAGAGACCAAAGGTCAGGTAAATAGAAGGTTTTAGTACTTTTAATGCGAGAATGAGGGCCTGAACAAAGTCTTGGAGTTGAAGAAAGGAGACAGATTTGAATAAAATGAAGGAACTAGGAAATTATAAAGATAGTATAGGAGAGGGCAAGGTTTCAATCTGTTCACAGAGTCTCTATGATATGTGGTCAAATTTGATGGCACCTAACACCACCACTACCACAGAGGTACTAGGAAAAAGGAAAGCATTTTATGTGAATTTAAAGATCTGTAAATACTAGTCCATCCCAATTGGAACACATTGTGTCTAGTATTGAGATATTTCCCATCTAGTGAAGAAAATAATACAAGAATGGGGAAGGAAAAACCCCCTACAATATGCAAAGACATACTATACTAAGTATTTCTATGAAACTAATAGTTATTTGTTGTTGTTGCTATGTGCCGTCGAGTCGCCTGCGACTCATAGTGACCCTATGTACAACAGCCCTAAACTCCGCTCTGTCCTGTGCCAATCGCACTGTCTCTGACACTCCCATCCCAATTATCCCAGTCACTGAATCAATCCACCTCATAGAGGGCCTTCCTCTCCTGCGCTGTCCCTCCACCCTCCCAAGCATGATGTCCCTCTCTAAGGACCGGTCTCTCCTCACAACATGTCCAAAGTATATTAGACGGAGCCTCAGAATCCTTGCCTCCAAGGAG